AAAAATACCCGGGAATACCGACAGTAGCTCTGTCCCCTCTCACCTGGACTCGCGCCATCCGGGGGACCCGTCGCTTGGTAGTTTTCCATAGCCGTGGGTCTCCTGCTGTAAAGCGGCTTGGAAAGGAGCGGAGGCTGAGCCTCCCTGCCTGTCTTCCTGAAGTCCACCCTCAGAGTCGATAAAGTTCAATCGCCGCGGTCAAGAACTTCCTAGGCGCCACATGAGGACCCGAGCAAGCAATTCCGATTCAGCCGGAAGCCGAAATCTATCTAAGGCTGGGGTCCCTCCTTTTGGTTAGCCGTTGCCATCGAAAATTATCTCATACTTACTCAGCTGTCAGCAAACCAGATTTATTACTATCACGATGCCCCAGGCATTCCTCAGCGCACTGAAGGATGTACTCTTATTTACTACGCCCTTGTGGCTTTGTTCCGGATTTTTTTTTTCCTTTTTCTTTACTTCCCAGTTTACCTTAAAAAAAAAAAAAAACCCTTGATCTCTCGCCTAAGTATTAAGTAGTCCTACTTAGCGTTTTGATATCAACCAAAGTTAAGTAAACGAAAAAGAAATACATAGGATATTTGAATCTTAATTGTATTCTAGTGGTCATTTGGAAATGCACTTAGTTTTTTATATAGAGTAATATGGTTTAAGTTAACATATTGAACTCAGCCACTGTGTTGAGTAAGCCACGATTTATGTCATATTAAAGTTGTTTGAAATTTACCAAATGCCTTTTACAGTAAATTATGATTGCTTAAGGTGTTTTGATGGGGGCCCTACATTTTAATGGGCACTTTCTGCCATTCATTTTAATATATGGGTTCATGTATGTCAATTTATAGCTTAATCATCTACAATGTAGTTAATTAATTACAATGATTAAAATCAAAGTCTGCTTTACAAACTACAATGTGCTTATTCAATATTTTGTCAGAAACTAAACCAGCCACATTAAGTTCAATGTACATTCCAAATATTGGCTGTTGGCCAGGCAGGTTCGTGCATGGTCAACAGTTATTACTTATTGAAAACATATAATCTTCTTGGTTTCTATAGTAAACTGCACCATGTTAACTGACCACATGGGTTGAGTTTGCATAATAGATTAAATGAGATTTGCTAGTTTGGGTTTTCCAGAGAATCATGTAAATCCAACTAATATGTTTGTTTGATTCAAATCCTGACTTTCCTGCAGGAACACAAGATGTCATAGATAGTGTTGCCTCATCTATTTCCCCCCAAATGATCCTATAAGATAGATAAGAGCTGAGAGAATCCCCCAGTATCTGTTCTGTACTTTAATCAATGTACCACTGGGACTTTCATGTTATTCCTATATGGAAAACAAGGTGCAGAGAATAGTAATCATGGTCTCACAAATCATAAACCTGAGAAAAGTCTAAATATGTTTTAAACTAAATTTGCTGCCATGAAAAGAATATATTTCTATTTCAAATCATTCCCATTATCCTATATTCAACAATACTTAATAATTATCAATCAGGAAGAAGAACAAGTAAAAGAAACAATGATAGTATGGGCAAAGAATTTTGGACATTCTATAGACTTAGAAGACTGGCAAAAACTTTGGGATAAAAACATTAAACTTACTAAAGCAGTAACATATAAAGAAAATTTATATAAGATGTTTTATAGATGGCATATGACACCAGTTCAATTAGCAAAAATGTTTAAAAATGTATCAAATACTTGCTGGAAATGTAAACAAAAACCAGGCACTTACTACCATGCCTGGTGGATATGCCCCAACGCAAAGAAATATTGGCTTAAGATTCATAGATGGCTGGAAAAGATGACGAAAATACAGATAGAATTTAAACCGGAATTGTTTTTGCTAGGAATAGTAGGATCTAACTATGGTAAGGAGAATGACTATTTAATACTACATGTATTAACAGCTGCAAGAATAGTATTTGCCCAATTTTGGAAAAATGAAAATCTACCATCTGACCAGGCTATAATTTCGAAAATGTTGGACTGTGCAGAAATGGATAGATTAACTTTGGAAATGAAGGAGAAAGAAGATTCAATTTATTTTAAAACTTGGGAAAAAATTTATCAATGGTTAGAAATACGCTAGAATACGATCAGAACTTAAAATTGAATTGAATTTTAAAATTGAATGGAATAAATGATAGACTCTTAATTAAATGTTATTTCTTAGATTAATAATAGCTTTATTATTAATGATTTTAAATATTAATGGTGATGACTAGAATTTGTTGAGATGTTATTAAGTATGAATATTTATTTAGAGGAATTTTACTTATTTATCTAATTTTAGTTATATGATTATAGTTAACGTTATCTTTATAATTGTTTAGTATTATACAAATTATGTTTATTTAATATTTAGATCCGGACGGTAGCTTGTTTGTTAAAGCTTGGGATTATTATGGGGGTTACCCCATTATTGTACCTACCTTTTCCTACCCCAAATTCCTATTCCCACTTCCCCCATTCCATATTGACCTTATCTTTCCTTACCTCTGTAAAACCTAATAAAATATTTATAAAAAAATAATTATCAATCAGTCTCTAACCTCCCATTTTGGGAGTAAGGAGTCACCTTCAAGTGCCCTAACAAAAGCAAATTGTCTAGACCCTTTTCAGTCAGGGTTCAGGCTTGGTCATGGAATGAAAATGATATTGCTTGTTCTAGATGATGAACTGTGTCAGGATCTGAAAGACAATAGTGTTCTACTTGTAATCCTGTTACACTGGTATTTTAATACCACGGTACTTTAAGATAATGATATCTTTGTGAACAATTTGAGAGAGTTACAGAATTTGAGGCACTGTTTTGCAGTGGTTCCATTCCTTTCATGAAACATGGCTCCAGCTGGTTCCAATGGCACAGTACTTGGTAGGTAGACAAAAAAACAAAAAACCCACAACTTTTTACCAAAGCTGCTAAGTTCTACACAAGCCAACACTATATCTTCTTTACTTCCTCTTTTACCACTTCGGGTGTTGAGGGAGAAATTCTGGTTCTTACTAGCCAAAAATACACCCAACCAAAATTTCTCTCATTGTGGTATCCAACCCACCTTTGTCTACCCTCACTGCACTCTGCAAAACTTAAGCTAGCATTGGACAAAACTTATTAAAATATTTAGAATCAACGTGTGAATATTTATCTCTGTGCTGTTAAAGTCTGTCAGTCTTCTGTAAATGTGCACCCTCTAGCTCAGCGGTGTCAAACTCGCAATGTCACGTGACGTCGCAACGTATTCCAACTTTTTTGCCATTGCCGGCAATGGGTGGGCACGGTTTCGCTATGATGCATATGGATGGCCCGCAGGCTGGCAGTTTGACACCCCTGCTCTTGAGGAAGAAATGTATGTATTATTTTGAAATACAGGCAATCAACATAAATAAAAATGCCCTCAGCTTCAGAAGTGATGCTAAAATTTTATGACTCCTTCACTTTTTAAAACGTTACACATTTGAGCTTTTTCCAAAACTGCCATATGCAGATTTCCTGTTTTTATATTGTGTGATCCTATGTGTGATGCTCAGAAACAAACCATATGCATTTTACTTAGCCAGTATGTTATGCAAATTCCACTAAACACAATGAAAAGTCCACAGTGCTAATCGCTGTAGAAATATAACTAAAGTTTTCTTTAAATCTATTTAAATAAGTTTTACCCAAATGGATTTGCACAGGAATAGCCTTAGAAAATAACAGTAAAAAACAATTTACTTTGGTAAGGCCAACTTTGAAGTAGGATGCATGGGGTTCTACTACAGCATATTCACTGTAACCATCACTATCTACGAAAATGAATACCCTTGAGTTCCAAATTATTACTTCCTCATAAGTGAACCTTTACTGGAACCTTACATGTTTACATTTTAAATTCATTCGTGCAATCCAACCAAATCTCCTAGCAAAAGTTCAAATATGACATCAAGCTCGCATAAAGTTTGCTGCAACAGGTTCAGGTTGCTACCATGCAAAGAGCGCCTCCCAGTGGTAGGTATCAAAAAGCATTCTGTCTTCCACTTCAGAGGTATTTTTCCCAAGAAGGAAAAGTGGAGGAATCAGCGAGAAAACCTAAGATTATAAATGCAGGAGGACATCGTCTGACATTCCAACAACATTCTGTGAACGAGGAATATATACTAAACAGTTTGCTTAGTTCAATTTATTCTAAAATTTAGTTAGAAGAGTGTATTCTGTGCTGCACTCAGCAGTAACTCAAGGACTACAACAGCATTTACTAATTTAAAAACTTGTTTAGAATTAGGAATGGTAGGTTTGAGCAATCAACAAAATGATCTATTACCGAGTAACCTGATTTATAAAATTCGAATGTGTATTTTAATATAGAAACTACAATTATCATAATTATATTAAAATAAAATTTGACAGCTGTTAGATGTTGACTTGCGTGACGGCTTGGGTTTATTCAAAGCACCATGCACTTATTTGCCAGTCCCAGTATTAGGTGAAAGAAAGTGAAGTTAAGCACGACAGAAACGCAGTTAGCGTGCGTGCAGGTGTTTTTACGGCGATTTTTAATAAAGCAAGTCAAACAAAAAGTTCATTCCCCCTAAAAAAATAATAATAACTAATCAGGTGCACTTAGCAAAACAGTAAAGTAACAGAAATGTAGCTTGCCCCTAATAATTTACACATTACATGAATACCATTCACTTTATACGCAGCACCGTTTCTATCATCCAATCAAAACTCCCGAAAGACAGCCTCCCCCGCGCCTTTCGGATGGTGCCGAGGAATATATTTCCGGGCAGTAGGCTGGACACCTATTGGCAAAGCGCTTAGTCTTAGTGCTTCAAAGATTCTCGCCGCCCGAATACGCGACCTTCGCCTTCTTTTCTATTGTTTAACCTTTGAAATTCCTACAAGTTTCCCCAGTTCTGCCGAAACAGGCAATATAGTTAGACACCTATTTTCAGAAGCGGGGTGGGGGGGTCCTTGCCGGGTTAAATAAGAGTCCGGAGGCCCCTCCTCTTCCTTTTCACCGGCGACTCGTGGAAGTTGTAGGGTAAGCGCGCGCCTTGGTAGGCCTGGAGTTTAGTATTTTTTTTTTTAAAAAAAAAAGGTTATTGGTTTCTTTGGCTTTTCGGGGCCGGGGCCGAGGCGGGGGGGGGGAAACTAAAAGGATAAGGCGGGAGGACAAACTTCGGGGTGCATTTTCGAACCCTTAACGGGGATTTGTCTTGTTTCAGGAACTCCTGGTGGGAGTATTACCACCAACCATGACCGAGGAAGGGTAAGTGTGCGCGAGGCGGAGATACTAGCATTGCGTCCCAGGTGTCCGCGAGGCCATTTGAGACGGCGCGCGCGCTTCCTTGTTCGCCTTGTCCTCGCCAAGCATGGTTCTATGCATGGAGCGCGGGGCGGCTTAGTCCACGTGGTGGGGCCTAGTGCTTTTTCCCCTCCAGCTTTCTTTGATTACTGCCAAGAGCTATTAAAATGTCTCTTGTTCTAATTTTTGCTCGCCAGTAAGTTCTGTAATCGCAGAATATGTCTATATATATATATTCTCAGAATATACAAATATTCAAGCATCCGAATATCGTGTTTTAATGTATGCCAGTGTGTTCACAAAAAAGTGACAAAGGTTACCTTGTCTCTATACATTTATATTTATGTAACTATATAAACATGTTTATAAATTGAAATATATATTTCAAATATATTTACGTGATATAGCTATGCAATGTTCCTATCACTGAATAGTTGATTAATTGTCGCAGAACAGGAATTTATCTGCTGTTAAGAAAAAAAAACAGCATGAGATTTTTATCACTAGTGGACAAAAAAGAACAAGAGCCAAATAAAGTGGGTTTGGCTACATTTTTTTGGGCGGATGGTGACTTTTTAAGTACAGAGATGGTGTGAGTTTAAGTTGTCATAACTTTTCTGTAGGGTTGGTGGGGAGAGGTTCTGCATCATTTGAGGTGGAATAAAGACTGGATAGGAAAATTTTTGAGTGTAATTTGTATGGATTTAAATGGAATAGAAAATTATGATGTAAGGAAGTAACTGCAGCCAAATTCAGCAGCCAGGAGAAAAAAATTACAGTTTCAGGTAATTGTAACTAATTTATTCTAGTTTGCTTTGAAATGCCAGTCTGCTTTTTTTTTTTAAAAAAAAAAATTATCCTGCCCTTTTTTTCACATATACAGTTCACAGTGATGAACATACCGGTGCACCTATTTTCCCCACAACAACCCTATGGGTTAGGTTGAGACTAGTTGTGGCCCAAGTTGCCTACCTAGCAACAGAGAAGTAATCAGCTGCAAGAACTTAGAACTCAGAAATACTTCTGACATGAGTGATGATTTCTAACTTGTAAGGACTCTTTAATTTTCTTCTGTACTACTTCATATCTATTTTGAACTTGCAATCCATTTTATTGTCCAAGTCTTTTGCATCCTTGTGCTTCAGGTTACCATTAGAATTACAATTCAAGTTTAAGAAATTTCTATTGTTATATGCATTAGCTTGCTTATTTCATATTGTTATATAGCATAACTGCTGGAGGCATAATGGATGTCAACACCGCCCTTCAAGAAGTGTTGAAAACTGCACTTATCCATGATGGATTAGCTCGTGGAATTCGTGAAGCTGCCAAAGCCTTGGACAAGTAAGTGATTAGCCTTTCTCAAAAGTGGGATTGTAGTTTGATTTTGTATGAAATTCATGTTGGCATAATACTTGTTAGAAGAATGTTAAGTTATTTAAGAAGACACATATTCTAAACGTTAAATTCTATTCTCCCAATAAATTCTCTTATGAATGTGAGATGAAATTAAATGTGGGACTTAAATTGCAAATTTCCCTCCTCACTGCATGGTAATTGCTGACATGATTGACCCAAGTGTGTTGTTAAAGATTAGTGTAAAAGTATGTTACGATAGATCAATTTCATGATTAATTCAGTTGGGTTCAGCCTTGGAGTCCTGGTATGGGACAGATTGGTGAAGATGTTGTTTTCCTTTTATTTGCTGTGTTTTCATTAGGGTTTATGTCTTTCAAAATGTCCTGAAAGTTTCTCCAAAATGAAAGTTAGGTATCTTTGACAGTTACATTGGAAAAGGGAACAAAACAATGCTGCTATTACTGCTTCCTCCACCAGTATTATAAACACCAAATTCTAAAAATATGTAGTTGTTTGAGCCCAACTTGGAGGGTGCTTGGAGAAGGTCTGGTATGTTTTAGAGAAGCTATATCTTTTCCAGGGCTTTGTAATTGCTTATATTAGGAAAATTGTGTTATAAGATGCAATGATAATACCCTATCAGCATCTTCCCTAACTCAAGTACATTTTCCTGGGACCATGCAACACCCTATATTTTAAGGATCTGCAGGCCATTATATGTACAGATCAGTCATGTTGAGTAGTCTGTGCTTGGATTAAAGCACATAGGCTTTATATATGCACTAAACTGGAGTATACGTTTTCTGGACAGAGACAGCATTTGTGTGCCAGTAGACTTGTTCTAGAGAGGGATAAAGGGGAAAGTGATGGTGAGGTAAAGTACATCCGTTGGATGGATACGTGGAAGTGATAGTAGAAAGGTAAAACCGGTCTATCAAGTGAATTAATTAAATGTAACAGGGAAGCAAGGGGTTGGGAAGATGGGAAAAGGTAGGCTGAGCTTGTATAGTTTTATAATGGGATGCATTTCAGATTTTAGCCAAAGGGCAAAGAAGGAAGAGGCTAGGTGAGTAGCAAATGATATATTAGACTCAAAGATAAGAACTACAGTGTTTGAATGATGACTTCATGAAAGTCGGATACCCCTTCACTCTTTATGAGTGACAACAATAGTCTGACAAACCTGTAGAGAGGAGTTTATTTTTTAAACAAGCCGGGAACAATAGCATAACCTTAAAGGTCATTCTTTGAATGACTAAATGGTTATGCTAGGTTTACCCACTTCTAGATAGTAAACAAATGGATTTTAAAAAAAAGACTTAAATGCAACAGTTGAATGATAACTGGTTTTAATTTTAGAATTGTATGAACACTTCCTTTCATTAAGATATTTCTAGTCAATGACTTAGTATTTAAATTTTGAATTAAACATATATAGCTTCATAGAAACATTTTAGCTCTACCCTTTTCTTTTTCAGCTTCCTATACGACCTTCCCAAAATCTATTTCTCTAGGTAAAGCACAACTAGAAATGATTTGAAAATTATGACTTGGGTTTTATGGGTGCAATCCCCTCTGTCTTCATATCTTATACCTTACAAATAACAATTTAATCCAAACAGCTATGTTAAGGAAACAAATGTAGATAAGCTTAACCATTTTATATGATAATTTTTCCATTTTAGACGTCAAGCCCATCTTTGTGTTCTTGCATCCAATTGTGATGAACCTATGTATGTCAAGCTGGTTGAAGCTCTTTGTGCTGAACATCAGATCAATCTAATAAAGGTAACAGCTATTTTATTTAGAAGTGGTAATACGAGACAATCAAGTAGTGTATAGTAAAATCATGCAACTGTTCAGGATGTCTTGGTTAAAACAAGTTAGTGCTGTTTATGCTGTACAGTGATGATAACTTGGCTCCCTCTACTGAGAATTGTGAGGAAAAAACCCACAAATTGTTACCCTGTTGGTCTGAGTGTACAGCTACTTTTGATGCTGTATTTGCTGCCTTGTATTAGCACTTCTAACAAAAAGCAAATCTCTCTTAACAGGTTGATGATAACAAGAAGCTTGGTGAGTGGGTAGGTCTCTGCAAGATCGACAGAGAAGGAAAACCTCGTAAAGTTGTGGGTTGCAGTTGTGTGGTTGTTAAAGTAAGATAACATGTTCTTTTTATTTTAGATTAATTTGCATTTATTAAATGGTATACGTCTACAGGCTCCTTAAAACTGCAAGTGTTACATCATATCCTTTGAGCATTACATTTAAAGTACAGGTAGTCCTTGTTTAACGACTGGTCACTTAGTACTGTTCAAAGTTATGAACCTACCCAAAGCTACTTAGGACTCGGTTCCAAAGTTCTGCCAACCAGTTACACCCCACTGGTCATGTGGTTGCATTTTGGGCATGTGACAGCCAGTTCACATTTAAAGCTGTTTGCAGCATCCTGTAGTCATAGGACTGTAATTTCGGGCATTTTTTTGCCAGTTTCTGGCAAAAAAAGCACCTGTTGAATAAGTTCATTTAACAGCCAAAAGTGTAAAATCTGGCACATTCACACTTTGACCCAATTAATGACTGCAAGCTCAATTACAGTAATTATGTTGAAGACTATTTTTATTTCTGTCATGTAGAACTTGCTCCATTGCTAATAAACAGTAGAAAAAGGTGGAAAAAAATCCTTTTTGTGGGATGTTAGTTTATAGATAAGACAGTAACTATGGCAGAGAGATAAGGGAAAGTTTTCTTTTGTAATGTTCTATCGCCATGGCAGTCTTCTAAATTACCACAGTTGTTTAATATACCAAGAAACTGCCAGCAAGACAAAATCTGCTTAACTTGACAAATGTTCTGCAGAAGATCATTGCTGGAAATAATAATGCCAGAGTACGAGCCTTGAAGTCTTTATAGACATTGAGGTCCCAATAAAGGCGACAATGGTATTCTATGCAAGGATTTTTCTTTAAACTAAAGCAGTGTTTCCCAAACTTGACAATTTTAAGGCATGAGGACTTCAACTCCCAGAATTCCACAGCCAGCAACGCTGGCTGTGGAATTCTGGGAGTTGAAGTCCACATGCCTTAAAATTGTCAAGTTTGGGAAACACTGAACTAAAGGATATGGTTAACAGCTGTTAACTTAATCTAAAACTACCTTTTTTCTTGATTCTGCAATTATAATAGATCACTAAATATTTACTGGTCTGGACTTTATTATGTGATTATTTAAATGAATAATTTACTGGCGTTATATTGTTTTTGTTTTAGGACTATGGCAAAGAATCTCAGGCCAAAGATGTCATCGAAGAATACTTCAAATGCAAGAAATGAACAAATAAAATACATTTGAGTTGACATTATTTGGTATTTTCTGGTTTATGATGAGTCTTTCAATTATTATGAGCCGAGGTGGCGCAGCAGTTAGAGTGCAGTACTGCAGGCCACTTTAACTGACTGTGTTCAGCAGGTCAGCGGTTCAAATCTCACCGGCTCAAGGTTGACTAAGCCTTCCATCCTTCCGGGGTAGGTAAAATGAGGACCCAGATTGTTGGGGGCAATGTAAATATATATATACATTGCTTACTGGTGTACACCGCTTAGAGAGTGCTTGCACTTAAAGCGGTATATAAGTCTCGTAAATAAATAAATTTATATAAGTTTGTGACAGACCTACAAAGACTGAATGATGGACAATAAAGAAAAACACATGGTACAACAAAATACAAAAGTTTATCAGTGATACAACTATATAGTCATGTGGCCATCTACAATTGACTTACAAGTCAAAAAATACAGGTAGCCCTTGCTTACCCAACCACTTACAGTAACTAAAGGTGCAATAATGTGACCAAGTAATATTTAAAAGACTGGTCCGTGGTCTGAGCTCTTGTGGCAACTGGCTTGCATTTATGATGATTGCAAAATGCTACCATCACCATTTGTGACCTTTCTTGGTGGCTTCCCACAAGCAAATCCAGATTTAAGAAAATTTATATGGCTGCCCAACTCACTCCAGATGGCTTACTCCTGAAGAGTTGTTTACGTGCTGACCTAACTTGAACTTCTATTTTTACAAAACAGTTGTAGCCTGCTGTGGTTGACTTACAAGCAAACTTTCCAGAAGTCACAATTAAATGCAGTGTTTAAGAATATTTCAGCTGGAATGAGCTACGGAGAAGTCCCACGATAATCACTGAGGAGTGATTCTAAAGTTAGGTTGCTCAAGTAGCCATTTTTTTTACTGAATTGGAATAATCAGAATTTGAACTACTATATATTTTGTTAATATTTTATATAAAATTACAAATTTGGAATTGGTGCAAGCCATAATGAACTACAGAACTGGGATACATTTATGTTTTTGCATCTTTTCTATATTTATTTCTGGCATGAATTCTGTATAGAAGGTTCAATTCTATAAACCTGTTGATTAAAGATTTTTGTGCAGAAACGAGGCTTGAAAAAACGTTTCTGAGAGTAAGAACTCTCTTTAATACTATGGAAATTTAATTTATAAATGAAATAAGTATGACGCTACTCTTAAGGGTGTTGGGCCTGATGCTGAATAAATTTTTAAGAGGGAAATAGTATTCAGTTGCAAAAATAAGGGAAACGGATCATTTGTATAAATGTGATATGTGCAACAACAAATGAGGCTAAGTATAAAGGGAAACATGAAATTGGAGCTATTCAAAAGATGCTCAAGGTGCATTGTGAATGTAATAGACTGCCATGTCCTCCATTGAGGATAATTGCTTCAGGGATTCCCCAGTCTCCTGCGTGCACAATATTATATGTATGAATACATTTAATGTTAAATTGATATAGATGGCCTACTCACAGGTGACTCCAGGTGGATTACATTATAGACAGTACACAAATCCTTGTGTGAATTTCCCTGACAATTTTTTCCACAGCTCTTAACAATTCTAAGCTGTTGATTAATGGTAACGTTTGCATTAAGCATAAGAACGATTTTATTTTGGAAAATTTAAATTGTTCAGAAAGACTACATGACTGGTGTAATTGGTAGTGTTTTATGGGTAATAATCGGGAAGTAGTTAAACAGATTTGTAATCTCCACAACTTTCTGAACTATTACAAGAGGTGGTATGATTCAATATCAGTTCTAGACAGTATTAGCTTCTGACTACTTAAGGGTTCATTGATGCATGCTATTTGACCAAGTTGATTTAAGATTAAGTGATGCAGGGCACAACAGTCTCTTGTTTGATTCAAGCTTTTACAATTTATTTTTAAACCCTTAAATGTATTCCTCAATTTTAAACAGGTTGAAAAGTTTATTCACTAAGCATGTTTACTCCACAATTTAGTGAAGTGGGTTACAAGAACCTGCTGAGCAGAACAGTGGGCAAGTTGACAAGGTATTGCTTGATACTGGGGAAGATAGAATTCCTTCTGTGTTGTGGTTTTATGGTTGCCTCAAAAATGGACTGAGTCTGGCAAAGAGGTAATATGTGTTACTACATTAGCCCAATATTGCCTTCTGACTAAATTTGAGTCTTTTGAAACTGTAGGAAATTAAACAGGATAGAGGAATCTAAAAAAGAAATCAGAGGAACTGCAGACATAATCAACAAATAAAGAGATTAGTAATATCATAAGGAGCAGTATAGTATAGCAGTATAGTATAGCTTAGAAGAGAAACGATCCATAGAGAATCTACCTTCAGGAACTAATAAAAGAGGTGGAGGTGTGTATTACATTTTCCAGGATTCTGTATCTTACCTAATATTTGCATTAAAACTTAATGAAATTACTGATCATTCTTCCTTGATTGGGTAGTATGGGGCTTGACATCCAACATTGATTTTTTGTTTCATTCCCTCTCTGCTGTTAAATTTTTATGTTGCTCCAGAATCCCAAGGAAATGGACTAAAACTGTATAATCCCTAACTAGCATAGTGGGTTTATACATGCAGTTGCAAGAGAAACCTTAAACCACACAATGTAAAACAGTTCAATGCCTTTTCTGTAGGACTCCCTTACAATAAGATCAGTGTTCAGCAATAGCAATAATTTGAATTATTTGTAATGTTCTTAAGATGAATATGCTTTAATAAATTTGGGATTACAGTTGCAAAGGATTTTACCTGACCATGAAATATGCCCATGAGTAAAACTTGCTGAGGGATTGCCTTTCCCAGTTATGTCAGATTCCCATTAGATCTGGCAGAGAAGGTAGTTATCATTTGCCAGGGACTTATATTGGGTGGGAACTTCTCAGCCATGGCACCCACCTTGTGGGGCATTCTTCCACTGCCCCTGAGGTTAGGTTGGCTCCACCCCTACTGATATTCAGTACATCCCTCAAGATTTGCTTATGTCGTCAGGGCTGAGGATCTATAAAATAGACTTATTTTGTGATTTTAATATTTAATTTTAACACTGGCTTCATGTAGTTATATGGTTATTTTTGTATATGCACTTTTTCGTTGGGTTATTATGATTATATTGGGCTGCCTAGATTAGAGTCATCTTCGATGCAATGGGCAGCCATATAAATTTGATTTAATAAAAATCAATAAAATTTGGTTGTTTTGAGCTGTTTGTGGAACCGATAGTTTTAATTTGGAATTGAAATAAAGGCTACATTCTATCTATTGGATAAGATAACAGAACTCCTGTCTAAACAGGATGTTGAACTATTTTGAGGACTACCTTCGGTTCCATAGGTCCATGTGTGCCTGGAATGCAATATAGAACTATAATGAGATATGAGTTATGATACCTAAAGCACATAAGATAATCTTTATTGTTATTTTTTTATTGTGAGCACGCTGGCCCACATTAAAAATGAAATTCTATTGCCTGCTCTCAAAGTATATATCCAAACACACACACACACACACACACACATCCATACATATATATACACATATAAATAATACTGTCCATTTTGAACATATAGCAGAAATGCAAACATAAGTTTGCATTGTTGGTGGGATGGGGACATTAGATACAATCAAGTCCAGTAGACTGTATGATAAATCTATATACACAAGGGGCACTTGTAGACTTTTCAGATGTCACTCTTTTACAATTTTTGTACACCATAAAAAGAAACAGCATTACTTGGGGAATTAACTTTTTTCCTGTAAATGTCTAGTCATCCTTTAAAATGTATTCTGTTTTATTTACATATTTCTGTACTACATGGCATGGAAAGAAATCACCAAAGGCACTTGAAAAAAGGATGATTTTTGGGAAAAGGGTGAAACAGCAGATGGCAGCATTGATATAGGTCTAGAGCAGAGGAGAAGATAGTATTGAACTGAGCAAGCACTCCAGTGTTCCTTCCAATTGCCTTCTTAGGAAATAAATTAGAATGTTGAAGAATTACTGTATGCCTTTCCCTAATACATGGCCCATAACCTTGTATTACATGTTATACAGGAGCCTTTTTAAAAATCAAGCGGACATTTTAGAAATACACTTTTGAAACATAAAGCTGCCATTTTACTTTTCCTTGCCTGACTTCTTCCTGCTGCGTCTTCTCCACAATTATTAGGATAGGTAATAATTGGTAGAGGAAGAGAAAAGCTCCTGTAGCCTTCTGTATATCTGCAGAAAGACACTGAATCTATTTCTAGCCTGGTCATGTTCTAACGGGTCCTCAACCTTGGCCACTTTAAGACTTGTGGACTTCAACTCCCAGAATTCCTCAGCCAGCTTTGCTGAAGTCCGCAAGTCTTAAAGTGGCCAAGGTTGAGGACCCCTGTTAGATATTTGTTATCTTCTTGGACTGCCCGAAGATGAGAAAAAGATTGGACCAAGAGCACTAATCAGTCTTCAGACCTCCTTCAGAGTGCTTAGCCTTAAGCCAAACTGGCCGAACAGTATTGATGGTGGCCACCCAAAAAGTGATGGGCTCATCTGGAAACAACCAGGGCATGTAGAAGATGATGACTTGGAATGTAAAAGGAACAAATGATGAAGAGCACTTTTAATCTTCTACAAGGGTCATCCACTTTTGTATTCCGCCCACATTCATCACACGGTTGGTCTTCTGTGATCTTTCTCTTCTAGACATTCTGCTCACATGGAAAACTTGTGGAAAAGTTGGTAGGTGGCTGCCACCACTGTTTGGAATAGTGCTGGCTGAGAATTTACTAGCAAGACTGACATTCAGTGGACCCTCATCTTATAATAATAATAATAATAATGATAATAGTGACAAATGTGTACAAATTGAGAAGACAGCAACAGACAGTAAGTGCCGCCTAGGCAAAGAAGCTGAAGAAACAGTGGACCACCTGGTAAGCTGCTGCAAAAAGATTGCACAGACTGACTAAAAGCAGCATGACAAAATAGCAACAATGGTGCATTGGAAGATCTG